CCTCAAAATATTCAGTTTTCTCCATCAGCTAAACTACAGGAGGTTTTAGATTATCTAACCAATAGTGCTTCTCTGTAAGTATTGTAGATTTTTGTTATGTTTTAAAAATCATTTTTGTGATTTTGGAACCTTAAAAAAAAAGGTCTTTGGATAAAAATGATGTTTGATACTTCTCTCTCATGATTATCTTTAGGCAAATGAAATCTCCAGCCATCACAGCCACCCTAGAGGGAAAAAATAGAACACTTTACTTACAGGTTATCAATGTGTATTTTTAATTTTTTTCAGAAAATCATATCAAGTTTTATTTCACTTTAATTTGCCTTGCATTAAAATAATTTTGTTTTCTAGTCGGTAACCTCTATTGAAGAACGAACAAGGCCAAATCTCTCCAAAACATTGAAAGGTATTTTTAAATAAGGGTATTTACTAATTGTTTTTTTTCTTTTCTCTTTTTTTGGTGAAAGTAATCAGTGCTTGTTCTAGATTTCCTCTTAATGCCTTTGTATATGGTTAGGTAATAATTACTTACAACTTTAGAAATATTAATGGAATTAAAAAACTGCTGTTTTAGTAGAATATTTGAAAATCACTAAGAAATCGAATGGTACTTTGATTAAAGAGGATTGGATTTTGATGTTTATCTAGATCATAATACTCTATAGTTTGTGTACGTGTGTACTGTCCTTTCTGTTGAGTTTTTTTGCTTGTATTTATTATATTTTTTCTGTTTTAGAATTGGGGCTCGTTGATGGACAAGAACTGGCGGTTGCTGATGTCACCACACCGCAGACTGTACTATTCAAACTTCATTTTACTTCTTAAGGAAAATCTGCACATAATAGAAAACTCATGGAAATAATATACTTTGTGGATGCTAAGAAGTTTAATTGATGTCATTTTTAGCAATAGTGTTGCTTCAATTTGACTTTTTTTATATAATGAACCATTCTTTTTTAACTTTGTAACTTTCCCTTGAAGACGGGATTTTGGTGTTGGTGCTTGTAAGCATTTTCATTAATAATATGGGAAATGATACCTGGGGAGAGAGATTATGAGGAAATGTATTGCTTCTTTTCGAGATGGAGGCACACACCCTCTTCTATGTGAATTTTGTTATTATGGTTGAAGAATGCATTCCTAGTTTTCATTTGAGCACCTAGATACACAAAAGATGTCCCTTTAAATAAAATAAAGAATTAAGTTTTAAATAATATTAAATATTACAGTCTGTCATCTGGAGTATATTGAACATAGGCTATTCCTTTATTTAATATTCATTTAATTGTGGCCATCCAAATGAATATTAATTATTGCAGAATATTCTTGTCCGTAATAATTTGTAAACGGTATTATAGCTGAATACTTGTGCATGAAAATGGGCAATATTGTCATCTGTTTACTTGTAGTGCCATAGAGGCCAATATGCACAAAATTAACACCAAGACATGGCTGTTTAAAAAATTTCATGTTCAAACAGTTATCACTGATGCTTTTGCACTATTTATTAATAAAATCATATATTGTGTACTTCTTTCACTGAAATTTTTAAAAGCATATTAAGGGTAATAAGTAGTTCCATGGTAGTAATGAAATATTTTTAAATGTGTAGCAGAATTACATCAAATTTTCATTGCACTTGAAATAACACTTTTGCTACAATGATTTCTATAGTAAAAATTTACTGGTTTAATTTAACTTGCTGTATCAATAATATAATGTTTTTGTTTCTTTTTTTTTTTTTATTTTTGAGATGAAGTTTTGCTCTTGTTGCCCAGGCTGGAGTGCAATGGTACGATTTCAGCTTACTGCAACCTCTGCCTCCCGGGTTCAAGTGATTCTCCTGTCTCAGCCTCCCAAATAAATGGGATTACAGGTGCCCGCCACTGTGCCTGGTCTAATTTTTGCATTTTTAGTAGAGATGGCGTTTCACCAGATTGGCCAGGATGGTCTTGAACTTATGAACTCAGGTGATCCATCTGCCTTATCCTCCCAAAGTGCTGGGATTACAGGCGTGAGCCACCATGCCAGGCCATGGTTTTGTTTTTTATTTTTTTTTCCCCCAAGATTTGGTATGTTTTATTAGAGCAAATTTTTAACAAAAGATAGCTTTTATTTACAGAATTCAATGTGTGTGGGGACTGTCCAACCTATGTGGACTCAAGTTAGGATAACTATTAAGACTGCTAATGTATTTTCTTATTTTCAGTTTATATACAATTTTGTTTTTTTTTTTTTTGAGACAGTCTTGCTCTGTTGCCCAGGCTGTAGTGCAGTGGTATGATCTCAGCCCACTGCAACCTCCACCTCCCCTGGTTCTAGTGATTCTCCTGCCTTAGCCTCCTGAGTAGCTGAGATTACAGGTATGTGCCACTATGCCTGGCTAATTTTTGTATTTTTAGTAGAGATGGTGTTTCACCATGTTGGTCAGACTGGTCTCGAACTCCTGATCTTGTGATCCTCCCACCTTGGCCTCCCAAAGTACTGGGATTACAGATGTGAACCACTGCGCCTGGTCTGCATTCAAATTTTTTTTTTGTTTGCTTCACATTCATAAAATCCCTGATACTGTAAATGACAAATAAACCCTTCTATCTCTAAATTAAATATACGAACAGCTTGAAAACCATACAATTTAAATTGGTTTAATCTTGAAGTATAATCCAATGAGACTGAAAACTAAACATTTCAAGTCTTGGACCAAACAGTAAAATACTCGAAGGCCTTCAGGGTCCTTTGACTGATTTACGTCAATAAGAGAACCCATTTTTGATGTGGTAAAATATTATGCTCATCTCCAATTACAGTTTTAAGTTCCTGTAGCCCAGCCTTGTCAGGAGGAGGCCCTAAAGCATCAGCTTCTTTTGTAATTTCACTGTCATCAGTAATTCAGTTCTTCCATAACACTCTTGTGCACATAACCTCTTTCCTGATCATGACATCTTTTTTGTAATTGCTGTTGTTGGTATATCTAAGCTTTCCGTCTGGCTGAAATTCAAACTCCAGAAACTAGTACTGCAGCTTGTCCTTGTGCCTGACATAGTAGCACAGGTAGAAATTGTTAGCCATAGCCATTTTTGTCCCTGGGAAGCCTGCCAAAAACCTAGCCAACATGTTGCCCGGTTTTTGTTTCTTTTAAGTGAATAAGACTTGAAACAAAATTAAGCACAAATACTAAAAAAGTAGGTGCTAGTTTTTTTTGTTGTTGTTGTATTTTGAGACAGTTTTTACTCTTGCCGCCCCAGGCTGGAGTGCAATGGTGTGATCTTGGCTCACTGTAACTTCCACCTCCTGGATTCAAGCAGTTCTGTCTCAGCCTCCCGAGTAACTGGGATTACAGGCACGCGCTACTACGCCTGGCTAGTTCTTTGTATTTTTAGTAGAGACGGGGTTCCATGATGTTGGCCAGGCTGGTCTTGAACTCCTGACATCAGGTGATCCACACACCTTGGCTTCCCAAAGTGCTAGGATTACAGGTGTTGAGCCACTGTGCCTGGCCTGGTGCTATTATTTTAATGTGAGAACATATATATGTTCTCATTCTTTTTGACTTTGATGGCAGTTTTCTGTTCAAATGTTTTTTGATTACTTATGTGTCATTGAATTAAGTTTTCATTAATCTTTCTAGCTACATATTGAATAAGTTTCATTATAAAACCATATGGAATAAATTTATATGTTCTACCTGAAAAGTTACAGATGTAGCCTACAATTTTGAAAGTGAGGGAGCTAAAATTCTCAAAGTAGCATTGTGAGAAGGTGACTGTCTCCATCTGAGAGCTGACTAATAGTTTTAGATGGTTTAGGTCATTTAGCCAAAGCTGTATAATTAGAAGTCTTGGAACTCTAATTGTACAGTTAATTTCAACCTGAATCTGCCCCAAATCTCCTCTGTTTACTACTTAGCTAAGCTGTTTGAAAGTACTTGAGTTACTTTGTACTACTTGTGTAAACGACTAAATTGTTAGTTTTAACGTGCAAATTTTTATTGTAATTAGATAAAATTATTGTAAGATGTTATAACTTCTTAAGGGGTTCAATCTGCCTTTTGGAAAGAAAAGTAATTCCTTTTTTGCAGGGTTCCTTGCAGTGGGGTAAAATACTCAAATATGGGAGCAGGCATGTAATATAAATAATCGGGAGGGTATAATAAGATGAGTAGTAGAGTCTGTGGCAAACTGGAGTGAGTGAAAATTATTTGGTGACTACTCTAGCTGACTATTTCCATGTCTGGTATTCATATTTTTCAAAAGCAGCAGAAATCCAGATTTTTGAATGAAATCCGGCTTTTAAATGTTGATAGGATTTTATCTTTAACATTATTGGGGCCAAACAATATAGCTGCAGACTGGACTAGGAAGGTCACCAATTTAAGGTATGTTTTTATGGCCAAATGTTTGAAGGGAATCCACACAGAAAAGGTTATGTTTTCTTTTCTTTTTTTTAAAAAAGAGATGGGGTTTCTTCATGTTGGTCAGGCTGGTCTTGAACTCCTGACCTCAGGTGATCCACCTGCCTCGGCCTCCCAAAGTGCTGGGATTACAGACGTGAGCCACCACGCCCGGCTCAGAAAAGGTTATATTTTAAGTAATATGCCCAATGCACATTGTTAGGATAATAGCCTTAGTGCTTCCTACCTGTTTTAGTCCATTTGGACTGCTGTAACGAATTGCCATAAACTGAGTGGCTTATAAGCAGTAGAAATTTATTTCTTGCAGTTTTAGAGGCTGAGAAGTCCAAGATATAAGGAGCTGGCAGGTTTGGTGTCTGGTGAGGGCTGCTCTTCTAGCTTACAATTGGTGCCTTCTTGTGAACTCCCTTGGGCCTCTTTTATAAGGGCACTTACAAAAGTGGGCTCCCATTCATGAGGGCTCCATCCTCATCATCTAACGTCTCCTAAAGGCTCCCCTTAATACTCTCCCATTGGAGATCAGGTTTCAATATAGGAATCTGCACACGGAGAGACCATAGTATATTTTGACTGAGTTTGCTACTATTTTAAGAGAGAGGTGGTGATTTCTGCACCATGTGTTCCACGGGTGGGCACAGTGTTCATACGTGATCCTCTCTTTTAGGCAAGCCCAAACAAGGGTTTCTCCTTATAATACTAAGTTAATGCAGAGCTATTTACATATTTGAGACAAAGGGCTAAGAGAAATGTGAGGCCCAAATTTCCCTTTGCAATTACTGCTGGCAAGGTGCAAGCTTTTAGTACGTGAACCATTTTTCTGGAAAGCACACACAGGAAAACTGAAATATTCCTAATGGGAGAATCGACTTCTATTGGTAACCATAGCTTCTTTGCTGTAAGTACGGAATCAATATTAACAGAAGCCCTTCCGCGTTCGTCGGTAACTAAGGGCAACCCGGCGCTCCCGGATGTGACGTCAACGTTTTTGTCTCTTTTTTTTTCCGTCTATCGGCGGAACTCTAGGCTCTCAGATTTGGTTGCTGTGTACGTGGAAGAAGCAGGCGCATGCGCACACGGCCCCATTCGTCTCAGCTGTGCGGGAACCGCCGAAGGTAACATCCCGGTCTCGGGGGAGGCTGTCGGGGTCATGGCCACACGCTGACCGAACCAGCCGAGTGGAAAAGGGGAGCGAAGCCGTTCCTCTGCTCCCTTCCCCAGGCCTGAGGCCTTCCCGCTTGGTGCTGCCGCCGCCACTGCCGGCTGAGGAGGGGCGATGAGTTGGTTCAACGCCTCCCAGATCTCCAGTTTCGCCAAGCAGGCCTTGTCCCAGGCCCAGAAGTCCATCGACAGGGTCCTGGACATCCAGGAAGAGGAGCCGAGCGTCTGGGCCGAGACCATTCCGTATGGAGAGCCGGGTAAGAGAGAGGAGCAGGGTCCCCGGCTCCCGCAGGCTGCCGTTCTTTCTGTAGACAGGTTAAGTGGTCTAGAGAGGGGTCCTTCCTTGCTGAGAGAGTTCTCAGGAGGTAATTTCTCCCCGGCGCCTTCCCTAATGCTGCTTAAGCCTTCAAGTCGATCTTTGCCGTCTTCTTGAGGGAAAACCTAGCTCCAGGTTCCTCCTTGTCTTTGGTCCTGGGTGCGAGGCTTACGGAGTTCGATGACAGGGGACTTGGTTGGTTTTGTCCTCAAGCCCTCCCTCGATGCAGCTTCCAAGCACAGCCTCCCTGAACCTGAACCTCGAATTGCTTCGCCTCTCAGGCACTGTTGGGATCCAGGGTCTGAAGTACGTAGATCATCAGGGAAGGGAAGAACAATTGCTAACATTTAGTGAACATTTCACGCTTGGTGGCGCGTAATGTGCTTTTATATTGTTATTGTGGAGACGGAATGTCACAGTGTCTCCCAGGCAGGAGTGCAGTTGCGCGATCTCAGCTCACTGCATCCTCCGCCTCCCACAGTCCAGCGATTCTCCTGCCTCAGCCTCTCGAGTAGCTTGGATTACAGGCGCACACCACCATGCCCGGCTAATTTTTGTATTTTTACTAGAGACCGGGTTTCACCGTCTTGGCCTGGCTGGTCTCAAACTCCTGACTTCAGGTGGTCCGCCGGCCTCGGCCTCCCAAAGTGCTGGTATTACAGGCGTGAGCCACCGCCTCCAGCCTGTAATGTGCTTTTTAATGGCCGTGCCATCTTCAGAACATCTCGCAGAATGAGCTTGGTTTATATCTGTGTTTTACAAAGAGGAAAATGAGGCCCAGAATGGCCAGGTAACTTGCTCTAGGTCACACAGTGGATGCGGGTTAGAATGTACTGGAGGTATTACCTGGGGAGTCTGTGACCCAAGATTTTTGGATAGTATCATATTTTATTTCTGAATAGCCAAGTCTCTCTTTGCAGTTTTCATTGAGCTTAATCTTTCAGGGATTTTTATTCAGTTGCTTTTGACTCTTAAGTCTAAGGAACAGTTTAGCATTTTGACGTGTGAGGTGAAGATTTGCAGGTGTAGAGGATGTCAACCTTTGTGTGAAAAAGGATAAGAGATATGCTTGACTACTCCTTCCTGGTTTCTGTTCTTAATTTTACATCAGTGAAAAGTCAGGACTTAAATTTGAGGTACCTCATTTTAATTTATTTTGGTCCGTGTGTATGTCATGGTCCTATTTACTTTTTACAAGACCTATAACCTTGCTGGAGTAATTTTGTTTTTTCCTATGTGCCCCAGTTAATTAGAATTACTAAACTTTAGATGACATAGAATATAAGTTTTAGATGTAGGGATATTTGTTTTCTGAAAATGACCATACTCTTCAAAATAGTGTAATTTAGATGGATGCCGGATAACCCTGGAATTATATAAAGTATTCTCCAAGAGGCAAAGTTAATTCTTAAAATTATTTAAATTAATCAGTAGACATAATCTTGCTTGTTCATTTGCATCTTTAATTTTGATTTTCTCTGGTTTGTGTATATGGCACAAATGAATGTAGAACTATGCCTCCAAACTGAAATTTTCTACATACTTTTCATCCTAACTGCATTTGAAGTCTCATCTATATATATATATATTTTTTGGAGATGGGAGTCTCTCTGTTATCCAAGCTAGAGTGCAGTGGCGCCATCTCTGTTCACTGCAGCCCCCATTTCCTAGGTTCAAGTGATTCTCCTGCCTCAGCCTCCTGAGTAGCTAGGATTACAGGTTTGTGCCACCACACCCAGCTAATTTTTGCGTTTTTAGTAGAGACAGGGTTTTACCATGTTGGCCAGGCTGGTCTTGAACTCCTGACCTCAAGTGATACACTTGCTTCAGCCTTCCAGAGTGCTGAGATTATAAGCATGAGCCACTGTGTCCGGCCTGAAGTCATAATAAAGGATAGATTCTACTCTAAGGCCTGATAGTTTTTAGAAACTTTTAGTTACTTGTGCTCTCTCCACCAACTTCTAATTGTGAATATTTTGTTCAGCCACATTTTAATTTGGGAAAGAAAACATTTTTAAAGAAATGCTTTAAATATTTTACTGTTTTTAAAATCATGATTATGCCGTTTTTAAAAATCAGGATTTTAGTAGTAGCTGTTTTATGACTGATATGATAATTACCTTTTCCCCCAAGAAAATAGTTATCTTCTTTGATAACCCTGGTGTCAATTACGTCTATGTTAAAGAGCAGTAGTTCTTAAAAAAAACCCATACATTTCTGAAATTCATAATGACCTTGTAATTTCTGACATAATTTAGAATTTGGGAACAAAACTTCCTCTTAGAGTAGGCTTGGAAGTGGGATTTAGAGAATTAGCCTGTGATTAAGTGGATGAAAATAAATTTATTCTCTAGAACATACTGTTCCCATCAGTTTAATTTGATCTTCGGGAAAGAGCATTTGTCACCAGTATCTTGGTTTGAGGCTTTTTTTTTTTTTTTTTTTTTAGACACGTTCGATTATGGCTCAATGTAGCTTCCATCTCCTGGGCTTAGGTAATCCTCCCACCTCAGCCTCCTGAGTAGCTGGGACCACATAAGTATGCTACCAGGCCCAGCTAATTTTTAATTTTTTTTTTTTTTTTTGTAGAGATGGGTCTCACTACATTGCCCAGGCTTGTCTCGAACTCCTGGGCTCAAATGATCCTTCTAGTGTTGGGATTATAGTTGTGAATCTCCATGCCCACTGAGTTCATTTTTTGAGTGTTGCCCTTTGTCTAGCTCATAACTATTTTATTACTGATATTACAAGTAAAACTTAATGTGAAACTGACTGAATAGGTTGGTTCATTTTTCTGTGACTGCACATGGCTCTGCCTATTCAATCAGTTTCATATTAGTTTATTTCATATTGATAAGTAGAGCCTGTTATTATGACATGAATTATAGGTATCTTTGGCTTACTGTGGGTTATAAAACATAGACTGTTACTTCCTTAATTTGTTGTAGGGAGGAATAACATACTTGTATCTAATAGTCCAGGCCAGGTCCAATCTTTTGTCTGTCCTCCTCCTTTTTCTCAAGCAGATCCACACCAATTTTCTTCTTTAAGTCTCTGTATTAACTTGGAAACTAATTAATGATGTAATAAGCAAGGAGTTTCACAGGTGCAAATTACAGGTTGTATTTCATAGGGTATTTTTTTCTAAATTTATATTTATACTGATTTATAATGATGATTGAAATATTAATATAATATATATGTGTGTGTCTTCTTATTTAATATTTATTTTTTGTCAAAGGAATAAGTTCCCCTGTCAGTGGAGGATGGGATACTTCAACCTGGGGATTGAAATCAAACACTGAACCTCAGAGTCCACCAATAGCCTCTCCTAAAGCAATCACAAAGCCAGTTCGGAGGACTGTGGTCGATGAATCTGAAAATTTCTTCAGTGCCTTTCTCTCGCCAACTGATGTCCAGACTATTCAGAAGAGTCCAGTGGTATCAAAACCTCCAGCAAAATCACAACGACCAGAAGAAGAAGTGAAAAGCAGCTTACATGAATCCTTGCACATTGGACAGTCAAGAACTCCTGAAACAACTGAATCCCAAGTAAAAGACTCTTCTTTGTGTGTTTCAGGGGAAACCCTGGCAGCAGGTACTTCATCACCTAAAACTGAAGGCAAGCATGAAGAAACTGTTAATAAAGAATTGGATATGAAGATGCCAACTGTACGTTTGAAAGTATCTGAAGGTGTAATTGATGTGAAAACAACTACGGAAAGTATATCTAATATGTCTACACAGTCTCTCACAGCAGAAACAAAGGACATGGCTTTGGAACCTAAGGAACAAAAACAAGAAGATAGGCAGAGCAATACACCTTCTCCTCCTGTTAGCACCTTTTCATCAGGTACTTCTACCACCAGTGATATTGAAGTTTTAGATCATGAAAGTGTAATAAGTGAGAGCTCAGTGAGCTCAAGACAAGAGACTACAGATTCAAAATCGAGTCTTCACCTGATGCAGACATCCTTTCAGCTTCTCTCTACATCTGCTTGTCCTGAATATAATCGTTTAGATGATTTCCAAAAACTCACTGAGAGTTGCTGTTCATCTGATGCTTTTGAAAGAATAGACTCATTTAGTGTACAGTCATTAGATAGCCGGAGTGTAAGTGAAATCAATTCAGATGATGAATTGTCAGGCAAGGGATATGCTTTAGTGCCTATTATAGTTAATTCTTCAACTCCAAAGTCTAAAACAGTTGAATCTGCTGAAGGAAAATCTGAAGAAGTAAATGAAACATTAGTTATACCCACTGAGGAGACAGAAATGGAAGAAAGTGGACGAAGTGCAACTCCTGTTAACTGTGAACAGCCTGATATTTTGGTTTCTTCTACACCAATAAATGAAGGACAGACTGTGTTAGATAAGGTGACTGAGCAGTGCAAATCTGCTGAAAGTCAGCCAGAAGCACTTTCTGAGAAGGAAGATGTTTGCAAGGTAACTCTAGAAAGTGGAAGGGACTTTTAGATGTGCTTTTTGGAGATTAAATCATTTGTTTTGAAAATATTTTCATTTATGCATAATAATTTGTATAGATTTTGAAAGATAGGCATTTTGCTATTAAGTATAGCATTAAAGACCTTTAAGTTGAACAATTATTAATATAATTTGAAATTTCTCCAAGGTAATTATGGTAGAATAGGTTGATACTTCAATATAGTTAAGCATAAAAAATTTTCATCTTATATCTTTATTGTTGAGTCCTTATCACTTTAAAATTCTGTTATGTGCATTAGTATGTCAATTTGGAAAGGATTGTCTTCTTATATTAAATGTATCTTCATCTTTTTTGCAGATAGATGTACCAAAAAAACTAAATGTTATGGTTTTTCTCGCATCAGAATTTTTTTTTGCATGTTTACATTATTTGTAGCAAACCTTAAATGATAATTTAAGACTTTAATTATTGGTGCTTTTCTATTATTAGTATTTTCATTCATATATGAGGAGTATACATCCTTGTATTGCTTCAGTTTGCTTTCTGTTTATGTTATTTTTGAGATCTCCTATTGATAGCTAGATTTCACATGAACGAGAAAGAGAAATGTCTAAGGAACAAAAGCCTTGCTTAGGAGTGACAAATTGCTTCTGCTTAATACATACGAAAGGAAAGTGATGTAAACTATTTAACATTAAGTCATAGTTTTGGTTTTTCCTGTGATTTTTAGATATAGAAATTGAGTTGGATCTGGCATCTTTAATAGACTTCTGAGATATAGGATGTCTTGAAGAAATGTCCTGTAAGTGCCATGTATTGAATTACTTAATTGTATTAAAAAGCGCCAGATTCTGTTACTTAGGTTAAATATTCACAAAAAAATGCTGCACAATAATATTTCAATTAGTAATAGCTATATACTATAAGATATGTAATAAGAGTTTGAATTCTTAGAAACCAGCACTAATTACTATCAGATGTTTTTGAATTTCAGTGTATTTAAGAAGGTAAGTGATTTCTAAGTTCATCTAAAACAAACTCAGGTAAGACTTCAATTTTTTGAGTCCGAAAAGGACCCCTTCCTACCCTTTTTATACTCAAGTTTATCACCGCTTGAGCAGGAACTAAGGAATGAAACATTCTAAGCATTACTTTTTGTTTAGTTTTACACTAATACATTATGGAGATTTAAAAATTCTTACAGTTTTTCTAAAATTACTTTTAGTATGGATATATGTATGTATGAATGAGACAGGATCTCTCTCTCTTGCCTAGGCTAGCATGCCGTGGTGCAATCATGGCTCACAGGGTCTCTCTCTGTTGCCCAGGCTGTTGCCCATGCAGTGGTGTGATCATGGCTCACAGCAGCCTCGACCTCTGGGGCTCAAGCAATCCTTTCCCCTTATCCTCTCTAGTAGCTGAGACCACAGGCTTGCACCATGCCTGGCTATTTTTTTTTTTTTTTTTTAATTTTTAGTAGAGATGAGGTCTCACTATGTTGCTGGGCTGGTCTTGAACTCCTGGGCTCAAACAGTCCTCCCATCTTGGCTTCCCAAAGTGCTGGGATTATAAGCATGAACCTGTGCCCAGCCCTACTTTTATTTTATTTATTTTATTTTATTTTATTTTATTTGTTTTTCGAGACAGAGTCTTGCCCTGTTTCCCAGGCTGGAGTGCTTGCTGCTCACTGCAACCTCTGCCTCCCAGGTTCAAGTAAATCTTCTGCCTCAGCCTCCCAAGTAGTTGGGACCACAGGCACGTGCCACCATGAACAGCTAATTTTCATGTTGTTTGTAGAGAGAGATGAGTTTTACCATGTTGGTCAGGCTGGACCCAAACTCCTGACCTCAAGTGATCTGCCCTCCTTGGCCTCCCAAAGTGCTGGAATTACAGACGTAAGCCACCATGCCTGGCCTCTACTTTATTTATTTATTTATTTATTTGATTATATTTTATTTTTAGTTAGAGTTTGACTCTTGTCACCCAGGCTGGAGTGCAGTGGCACGAGCTTGGCTCACTGCAACCTCTGCCTCCTCGGTTCAATCGATTCTCCAGCCTCAACCTCCTCAGCAGCTGTGATTATAGGTGCCCACCACTATGCCTAGCTAATTTTTTTATTTTTAGTAAAGACGGAGTTTTGCCATGTTGGCCAGGCTGGTCTCAAACTCCTGACCTCAGGTTATCCACCCACCTTGGCCTCAAAGTGCTGGGATTACAGGCATGAACCACTGTACCCGGACTTCTGTTTTTTAAATGCAACATATCATATTAAGAAAAGGGTACATGTTTCAGGTGAAGAATCGTAAAGAAAGCAGACACTTGTATATCCACTACCTAGCTAAGATATAGTCTTTAAAACCTGTCTTTGACCTCTTCTGATTGCATCCATCTCCCTTCTCATTTTGGTGTATACACAGACTATTCCAGATTTTTGCCGTTACCAGGAAGCTGCAATAAGTATTCTTATCCGTGTCACCTAGTGCATTTATGCAAGAATTTTCTCCTCTAAAGTATACCTAAAAGTGAAATTTTCTATATCAAAGAGTATATAGATCTCCAACTAGATATTACCTAATTGTTTTCCCAAGTGGTTTCTCAACTTACACTCCCACTGGCTCTTTGTTGTACTTACTTTTACTCTCCTATCCCCTGCTAAGAGTACTTCTTGTTCTGCATCCTTTGTGTTCCTAATATTGTTCTTAATTATTTTTATGAGATAAAGCTGTTTTCTTTACTATAGTGATATAACTGCATGTAGAAATGGTCTTTTTTAAAGCTAAGTGTTGTGACTTTTTTGGCTTTCTCCTTATCCAGACAGTTGAATTTCTGAATGAAAAACTGGAAAAAAGGGAGGCTCAGTTATTATCTCTTAGTAAGGAAAAAGCACTTCTAGAAGAAGCTTATGATAACCTGAAAGAGTAAGTATTCTACAAATGTGAATAATGTTACACATTTTCTGGAGGCCTGTATACTTTGTACATATTTAAGAATGTTTTTGAAATTAAAATGTTTTGTAATTTATCATTATTGAAAGTTGTATAGCATTTCAGTTAGTAACCTTAAAGATTACTTTTCTGCTTTGTCTTTACCATATTACCTTTGGCATTGAAGAGAGTCATTTTGCAAAAACTGCAAAGCTCTTTCGTTTTTAGTCTTTTAATATTACAGATTTAAAACATGTATTTCAAGAAAACTGTGTTATTGTAGTTTAAGAAAATACTGGGTATTGGTTTGCAATCAGGAGCTGATTGGGAAAATGTGACACACAAAGATTCAGAATTGAAACATTGTATTTACTTTGTTATTTTTGCATGTCAGATGTTGGTGACATTTTCACTTTCTAACAAGTTTTCTTTGAGGTATTTTAAAATAAACTTAACAAGGGAAATGTCCTTATTTTTTTCTTAAAAGTTAATAGGCCCAATACTGTTCTATTTTAATAAGGTATATGTCAGAGAAAAGTTATCTTCCTTTTGAGAACTGAACTCAAGTGTACCTTTGGGATATATAAACACCATCCTCATTCTCAAATATTGTTTTAAATTTAGTGAAATGTTCAGAGTGAAAGAAGAAAGCAGTAGCATTTCTTCCTTGAAAGATGAGTTTACTCAAAGAATTGCAGAAGCAGAAAAGAAAGTTCAGCTAGCCTGCAAAGAGAGAGATGCTGCTAAAAAGGTAATCGAAATTTAAAATAATGCTAATTAAACTCTATAAGACAGATTTTTGAGGAGTACATTCATCATGTTTTGATAGTGGAAAAAAAGAGAAGCAAGGTAAAAAGGATATCATATATTAACATTTAAATCGTAGAGTTTTGGCTAGGTGTGGTAGTTCATGCCTGTAATCCCAGCACATTGGGAGGATGAAGTGGATGGGTCACTTGAACCCAGGAGGAAGAGAGTAGCCTGGGTAACCTGGTGAGAACCCGTCTCTACTAAAAAATGCGGAAAGTTAGCTGGTTATGTTGGTGTGCGCCTGTAGTCAGGTACTCAGGAGACTGAGGAGGGCAGATTCCTTGAGCCCAGGAGTTCAAGACAAGCCTAGGCAACATGGTGAGACCCCATCTCTACAAAAAATACAAATATTAGCTAACCATGGTGCCATGTGCCTGTGGTCACCTGAGCCCAGGAGGTTGGTGAGGCTGCAGTGAGTCATGAATCTACCACTCTACTCCAGCCCAGGTAACAGAGTCAGACGCTGTCTCAAAAAAAAAAAAAAGGAAAGTTAATTTATGCCCGTTTATGTTTTCATATTAAAACTTGCTTGTATATTTGGATTTAGATTTTGTATATCATTTTCAAAGCTGTTTTCTCAGTCTCAGTTAACCAAGGTAGTAGATTAATTGAACAAAACTTACAGATTCTTATTGAGAATGTGATTATGGATAGCTTCTTTGGATGGGGGAAAAAATGAGAACTATTCTTAGAGTGAAAGTAATTCTTTATGGTATTCACAGATTTCTTTTTTATTAGGAAATCAAAAACATAAAAGAAGAACTTGCCACTAGATTAAATAGTAGTGAAACTGCAGACCTTTTGAAAGAGAAAGATGAGCAGATCCGAGGGTTAATGGAAGAAGGTGCGTAAAGTATTTAGTTGACTATAGAAAATATTGTAAGAACAGGAAAAATATTTGCTACATAACTAGGTGATGCTTCCTAATTTAAAATACTGAAAGCAAGGAGGATTTGGACTTAAACTATAGAAATAGTAGGTGACAGTTTGTGGAATAATGAGGAATAAGATATATTGAGACGGAGATATGTGTTTGTAGCTTTTGTTTTTAGGGAGTTTAAAAAAAAAAGTAAGACCCTAGTAAAATAGACAGAAATTTGTGCTGCCCTAAAAACTGTCAACAGGTCTAAAGAGCCTGTCATTTAAACCAAGATATTCAAAGTGTGTAATTCTGGGATTTAGGTAACATCTGAATACCTAGCTTGGGTTCTGTATGATATTGTATTGTTCTGGCATTTGATAGTGAATTTTTCATTGTATTCTTAATTTTTAAATTATTAAGCATTTTTGTCTCTGAGAAGATTTAAAATTAACAGCATTGGCTGGGTGTGGTGTCTCATGACTGTTATCCCAGCACTTTGGGAGGCCGAGGTGGGTGGGTCATTTGAGGTCAGGAGTTCGAGACCAGCCTGACCAACATAGTGAAAACCTGTCTCTACTAAAAATACAAAAATTAGCTGGATGGTGGCAGTGTGTGCCTGTAATCCCAGCTACTCGGGAGGCTAAGGCAGGAGGATGGCTTGAGCCTGGGAAGTAGAGGTTGCGGTGAGCTAAGATCATGCCACTGCATTCCAGCTTTGGTGACAGAATGAGACCTTGTCTCAAAAAATAAAATAACAAAATTAATAGCATTATAGAAATTAAAGATCTATTCATGAAATAAATCATTATAAATGGACACTGAATTAATTTCTTCATGCAATATCCTGGGAGAGGGGAGGTTTTAGAAAAGATGGTCAAGTGAATTTCTCTTTTTCTTTCTCATTAGTTAAAATTTTTCTAGTTGTAAGAGTGATACTTGCTACTTGTAGAAAGTTTTGAAGTTGTAGGAAAGTATATAAACAAAGAGGAAAAGTAGATTATAATCCAATATTGTAAGGAACTATTAATTTTTTCTAGTCTTAAAGCATTTTTTAAATGTGTTTTTAAACATAGTTAAGATCATATATTTAACTTGCAATCTTCCTTCACTTACGTCTCTCTATACCATTAAATGTTTTTGTTTTTTCAGAACTAAAAAAGAACTTATTTATTGAGGGCAAGGGAATGCAAACAATACAAAAATCAAAGCTTGTCTGGCATTTAACTTTTCTTTCTCCGCTCGTCAAATGGGAATTAGATTTTATTTGTACACTTGCTAAGGGTCCTAATCTGCTCATGAAATCCTTATATGGGGAAAGCTGTGGGTCAGATTCCTTAAGTGACCCTTTGGGACAACTGTTATCAGGGCCGGGGGAATTGCTCGTTTCTGCCTACTTCTTTCCCTTCTGCTTCATGTGTACTACAAAATAGTCATTGAATGCAATGGTGGGGCCCGCAATTAGGGAAAAGAAGCTCTGGAAGCCCACTTTGTCATCTCTGCACTGGTCCAGATCCTTCATTATTTTGTCCACGGCCAGAGGGTCTTTTTGATTTTCCAAAAATCCAGGGAACTGCTTTTCCATGAGTACTCTCAGGTCCTCCTTTGTTAAGTAGCCTTTATCCCCAGCAAATTTGTGAAATGTAAACATCATGGTTTCCATGGCATGTTCCATTTGAGATGGCATTTTGGTGTGGTCTCTTGAAGACTTGGCCAAGGCACGGCGGATGCAGCGAAGCCCCGTTAAATGTTTTTTTATCATTATTAATGGCTATAATAAAATCCATTATATGGGTATACCATACTTTTTACTGTTTTTAATGTTGTACGTTTATTTCTATAATGTGAATATTATAGTTAGTGGTAAGATGAATATTTTTGTCCTAAATCATTGAGCTAAAGTAAATTTCCAGAGAAACTGTAGAGTTTGAGAACAGTTGGAAGCAGCCATTTCATTTGAAAAAGTTAGCTTTACCCAACTTTTTGTTTTTCATTTATTCATCTAATATTTATTGAACAGTTAGTATGTCAGATATTATATTTGATACAATAATAAATATGACACCCTCTATTCTTTAGGAGCTTAGTTTAGTGAGAGGGAAATACAGGAATACAGATAATTATAAAACACAGTTCTGGCGGGGCATGGTGACTCACACCTGTAATCTCAGCACTTTGGGAGGCCGAGGCAGGTGAATTATGAGGTCAAGAGATTGAGACCATCCTGGCCAATATGATGAAACCCTGTCTCTACTAAACATACAAAAATTAGCTGGGCATGGTGGTGCGTACCTGTAGTCCCAGCTTTTCCAGAGGCTAAGAGAGGAGAATCGCTTGAACTCGGGAGGCAGAGGTTGTAAGATTGCACCACTGCATCCAGCCTGGCGACAGAGTGAGACTCTATCTCAACAACAACAAAAACCCTGCACAATTCTTTTTTTTTTTTTTGAGACGGAGTTTCACTCTTGTTACCCAGGCTGGAGTGCAATGGCGCGATCTCGGCTCACTGCAACCTCCGCCTCCTGGGTTCAAGCAATTCTCCTGCCTCAGCCTCCTGAGTAGCTGGGACTACAGACACGCGCCACCATGCCCAGCTATTTTTTTGTGGTTTTAGTAGAGACGGGGTTTCACCATGTTGACCAGGATGGTCTCGATCTCTTGACCTTGTGATCCACCCGCCTTGGCCTCCCAAAGTGCTGGGATTACAGGCTTGAGCCACCGCACCCGGCCCCACCGCACAATTCTAAGCACTAAAATAGAAAAATGAAGAAAGAGCTGTTATAATTATTTTCTCAAGATGTCTTGAAATTGTTAACTACCTTGTCTTAACAATATTAGACACTGAGGGGAAGGCTAACTGCATGGTTTTCTTATTTTAAAAAAGTAATTTAAAATATTAATATCAAATGTTACTATTTTGTAATTTAGTAATTTTTTCAGAGGATGGACTGATGTCTTCTTTTGTTTAATGAACACTTTTACAGAGAAAATAGAGCAATTTCACATGGGAGTATTTTGTATTCACAGAGTATTTACATTTTACACAGGTATATTACATATTGTTTCCACATGCCCCAGAAATATGTTTAAAACTTAAAGCTGAAGAGGTGTAAAACTCAGAGCTTGAAAGCACACTACAATGAGTACCTGATTACCTCATCACCTAGATTCATCAAGTGTTAACATCTTACCACACCTCTTCCATATCTTTCTGCACACACTTATGCTACCTTTTTCTCAACGCATTTGAAAGGAGGATAGAAATACTATAACATTCTGCTCCTAAATTCTTCAGTCTGCGTCTCCCAAGGGGAAGTACATTTTCCTTGACAGGTACACCATAGTCAAACCTAAGAAATCAGCATTAATTCAGAAGTGTAATCCAGCATGTATTTTAGTATTTATCTTAGTTGTCTTAAAAATGTCTCTTATATTTGATCATTTGTTCTGCCCCAGGATCTGAAGTTTGCTGATTGCATTTGGTTGTTAGGTCCTTTTAGTTTTCCGTCAATCTAGGACAGTTCTCTCTTCTTCAGAATATCATTGAGGACTATGTGGAGTCCAGGGCAATTGTCCCACAGGATGTCCCATGTTCAGGAATTTGTAATTTCTTCATGATTAAATTTATATCATATTTCTAGTAGGAAATATCTAGGTGACATTGTACACTTACATTACTACATCACATCAGCAGGCACGTACTGTCAGGCTGTACTACAATTGGTGATGCCAAAACTGAATGTTTAGTTAAGGAGTTGACTGCCAGATTTTTCTCTTTATAATTAGTAGGTGATATGTGAAAGTGATTCTTTAAGACCGTGTTAATATCCAGTTTCCCAACATCCTTTTACCCAATAATTTTAACATTCATTGATGATTCTTGTCCAAATTGTTATAACATTGTGGGTTACAAAATTGTGATTTTAAAAAATGCTATTATTTTATGTTACTGGTTAGATAAAACATTCTATTGAGATTTTTAGGGAACAGTTGTCTTTTGAGTTTATACTTTTCTATCATCACCAGGGGAAAAACTTTCAAAACAGCAGCTGCATAATTCTAACATCATCAAGAAATTAAGAGCTAAAGACAAGGAAAATGAAAATATGATTGCAAAGCTAAACAAAAAAGTTAAAGAGCTAGAAGAGGAGTTGCAGCATTTGAAACAGGTGACTAGCAGTCATAATTCTCAACATATCTATTATTCTTACTTCCTGTCAAACAGTTGACCATGGTTTATGGAGCATTTGAAAAGATTTAATGGGGTAGTAACATGTAGGAAGAATTTTTCAACCAATAAATAAATGTTAAGATTTTGCAACTGGGTGGGGTGACGCATACCTGTAATGCCAACACTTTGGGAGGCTGAGACAGGCAGATAACTTGAGGCCAGGAGTTTGAGACCAGCCTGGCCAACAAGGTGAAATCCTATCTACTAAAAATATTGAACCAACCTAATACAAAAATTAGCTTGGCATGGTGGTGCACACCTGTAGTCCCAGCTACTTGGGAGGCTGAGGCACGAAAATTGCCTGAACCTGGGAGGCAGAGGTTGCAGTGAGCCAGAACACTCCCCCCTGGGCAACAGAGTGAGACTGTCTCAAAAAAAAAAAAAAAAAAAAAAAAAAAAAAAAGATTTTTCTCCATTATTATAAATTCCTGGAATACAATTATTTACCATGGTGTTATTTCTTGAAAAATACTTTTATCTGTTTTTATAACATTTAGGTCCTTGATGGCAAAGAAGAGGTTGAGAAACAACATAGAGAAAATATTAAAAAACTAAATTCTGTGGTAGAACGCCAGGAGAAAGATCTTGGTCGACTTCAAGTAGACATGGATGAACTGGAAGAAAAGAACCGAAGTATTCAGGCTGCCCTGGATAGTGCATACAAGTAAGAAAATGAGCAAATATGCAACCCATTTAGAATGAATTATCAGAGTAGGATGTTGAAGAAATACTTTTTTTATTGTCTGATCACTGGCAACATTTATAAACCCAATCTAATTTTTTAAGAGAACTTACTGATCTTCACAAAGCCAATGCTGCAAAGGATAGTGAGGCACAGGAAGCTGCTCTGAGCCGTGAAATGAAAGCTAAAGAAGAACTTTCTGCAGCATTAGAGAAGGCCCAAGAAGAAGCCCATCAGCAGCAAGAAACTTTAGCCATTCAAGTAAGCAATGGATGATGAATTAGAGTAGTTTTAAAAATATTTGTTTATGCTTCTACAAATTAAACAATTTATTAGCTGGTTTGAATCAAACTTTATGTCATGATACATGTTTTAGATTTCAGAGTACTGGATTCTGCTAAATTTAACCAGTTGTGTTTTTTAAAACTATTGAAGTAATGCTTGCATAATACCAGTATTGTTTAATTTTTTTGTGAGTTTTAGACCCATCTGAGAGTATTATGAAAGCTAGGAACCCTCTTATGAGAGAAGAGCAAAAATGCATATACATATTGCATATAATTTTGAGAGATTAAATCCTGGCTCATTTATAACATCTGTGGGAGTCCAAGGACCTCAGATGAAGTAGGAAAAACAAAATTTGTGAGGCTTTCTCTTATAAAATCATCAGTTGATGGGCATATGGGTTATTTATACTTTGTGGTCATTATCAATAATGCTGCTATAAATATCCATGCGCAAATTTTTGTGTGAACATGTATTTTAAATCCCCCTAGATATTTATCTCCTTAAATCATATGGTAACTCTATATATTTAACTTTTTGAGGAACTGACAAACTTTTCCATAGTGGCAGGATTACTTTACATTCCCACTAGCAGTAGATGAGGGTTTCATTTTCTCCACATCCTGCCAACTTTTATTAATTGTCTGTTTTTTAAATTATTGCCTTTTTAGTGTGTGTGAAGTACTAATTGAGTATGGTGTTGATTTGCATTTTCTTAAAGACTAATGATGTTGAATTCCTTTTCATTTGCTTATTGGCCATTTATATACCTTCTTGGGAGAAATTTATTAAAATATTCAAATCCTTTTTACATTTTAAAATTGGGCTGTTTATCTTTTTATTGTTATTATATGAGTTCTTCTGCATACTAGACCTTTATCAGATACAGGATTTGTAAATATTTTCTGCCTTTCTGTGGGTTGTCTTTCTTCTTGATAGTGCCCTTGGATGCCAGAAGTTTTTAATTTTAAGGAAGTCTAGCTTATGTCTGTTTTCTTGTGCTTTTGGCATCATATATAAGAAACCATTGCTTAATCCAAGTTTATGCAGATTTTCACCAGTTTCCTTCTAAGAGTTTTGTAGTCTTAACTCTTACATTTAGGTCTTTTGCATGTGAATATCCATTGTTGCAGGACCAGTTATTGACTTCTATGCCCTTTTGATTTAATTTTAAATTTTGAATATGTAAAATATTTACAATTCCAAAGTGAGAGCAAAATCTATTCAGACATTTACTTCCAGTTTAGTTGCTCCCATTTCCTTTCCTTGCCTGTAGGTAACCATTTTATTAGAGTTTGGCTTACCTTTTCAGTGTTTCTATTGGCAAATGCAAGAAAATATATGTATCTATATATTTACATGTTCTGTATACATACACATTCACTTATACCCTGATTTCTTTTTTTTTTTTTTTTTTTTTTTTTTTGAGACGGAGTTTCACTCTTGTTACCCAGGCTGGAGTGCAGTGGCATGATCTCAGCTCACTGCAACTTCCACCTCCTGGGTTCAAAAGATTCTCCTGCCTCATCGTCCTGAGTAGCTGGGATTACAGGTGCCTGCCACCATGCCCAGCTAAGTTTTGTATTTTTAGTAGAGACGGGGTTTCACCATGTTGGATGGTCTCAATCTCTTGACCTTGTGATCTGCCCACTTGGGCCTCCGAGAATGCTGGGATTCCAGGTGTGAGCCACCGTACCTGGCCATATATCCCAATTTCTATCTCCTACATCCTTTTTACATAAATGATAGTTTATTATTCATACTTTTTATATTTGTTTTATTTACTTAGTAAAATATCCTAATGATCACTAGTAAAACATAGAGGTTTTTAAAAAATATCTCTTTACTGTTTTATAATACTTCATTAGGTAAAGTATTTTCAGCTATTTCTTATTGATTGATATTTGAGTTGTTTTCTGTATTTTGCTATTATAAGTCATGCCATAGTCCATATGCCCTTTGTGTTTCTGCTGCTCTTTTACTGGGATAGATAAAATATCAGTAATTTAAATTTAAAGTACATTAGAATAATAATACAGGAAAATTGGGGGAATGGGAGATAGAGCAAATATGGCCTACCCTCCATAAATTCATCACTTTTTACAAGTACTGTCAGTTTTATGTATTAGTGTTTTATTCTATTTCCATGTATGTATTTTTTATAATTGATGTCATGCATATTATAGTTTTTCCATTAATAGTAAATTAGAAATTTTCTTACATGCTTTATACATTTATTGTAATTTTTAATGGTTATATTTATATTGTATCAACATTTGCAAATATAGATTACTAGTGATGGAGATTTAGAATATTGCTAGTTTTGTTTTTGCTAGCTTGTTTAATACTGTAGGGACTATCCCTGTGTATTTACAAGTCTGCTTTCTTAGAGTAAATTTCCAAGACTAGGATAGCCAGGTGAAAGGATGTGAGAAGTTTGATGATTCTTTAAACATGTTATGTTTTCCAAAAAGGCTATAGTAGTTTATAATGTATGCTCCTGTATATGAGTGAAGTACCTAGCTTTTATAACCCATATAGCGCCTATCACTTTCTGTCCGAAGTGGCAAATATTTATGGATGCATGGTCTTTTCTCCAATATTGTATGGTAATGGCTGTACCTTATACATATTTGTATGCATTTCTTTGCCTTAACAGAATGCTTTTCTAAGTAAGCATTGAATAAACACTCAGTTTTGGAATTGCTTGATGAATGCAATTTGTGATAATCATATTTAAAAGTTCGATGGAGAGTCTCAAGTATTATACATGAACAATGTCAACACAACACAAAATGTATAGTTAGCAGGAAGTTGTAGATAATAATGTGCCATTGTTTGTGAATGTAGTGTTTCTCCTTCTACAGGTGGGGGACCTTAGGCTTGCATTGCAACGCGCAGAACAAGCAGCTGCCAGAAAGGAGGATTATTTACGCCATGAGATTGGTGAACTTCAGCAGGTACTGTCACAGTGTTCTGAAACACAAGTCCAAGAACTATGTGTCTTTCTAGAAATAAAAAAATGACTCAGTGGGATAATGTTGATGGAACTGAGAGGGCTGCTATCACACTTAGCATTTGCTGTATTTTTGTGGCTTGTGTGAATAAATCAGAGTGAGCACCTTAGAAATGTATACAAGAAAATATTTTGTTTTTATAGAAAATAATGTTATCATGATAGATTTGTTATATATATATATATTCAGTATTGTTTTTCCATTTGTAATGGCTTATTAGTGATTATCAGTCTTTGATTACTGTGGGACAGGTAACAGTTCCCGGTTTCTATGTCTCTGTTAATTTTCCGTCAGTTAACATGCACAGGAAAAGGGAGAGGAAATAGAACTTAGATTGATTTTTCTGTTTTTATAACTACTTAAAAATATTTGAAGAGGCAACTACTAAGAGGTTTGGATGAACTCTTTTTTTACCCTTCAGATAATTGAAGACTATCTTAGAAATGCTTTTTAAAGAAGCATTTATTTATTTATTTTGAGACAGAATCTTGCTCTGTCACCCAGGCTGGAGTGCAGTGGCATGATTTCGGCCCACTGTACCCTCTGCCTCCTGGGTTCAAGAGATTTTCCTGCCTCAGCCTCCTGAGTAGCTGGGATTACAGGCGTGCACCACCATGCCCAGCTAATTTTTGTATTTTTAGTAGAGACGAGGTTTCACCGTGTTGGCCAGGCTGGTCTTGAACTCCTGACCTTAGGTGATTCACTTGCCTTGGCCTCCTAAAGTCCTGGGATTAGAGGTGTAAGCCACTGTGCCCACCCAAAGAAGCACTTATTTTGATACTCTGTTACACAGTCTAATTCTATTGGAAGGATCAAACAGTTAGAAAAATAATTAAGGGCCGGGCGTGGTGGCTCATGCTTGTAATCCCAACACTTTGGGAGGCTGAGGCAGGCAGATTGCCTGAGCTCAGGGGATCGAGGCCAGCCTGAGTAACATGATAAAACCTCACCTCTACAAAAGAAATACAAAAATTAGCCAGGTGTGATGCCATGTACCTGTAGTCCCAGCTACTTGGGAGGCTGAGGGTGGGAGGATCACTTGAGCCTGGGAAGTCAAGGCTACAGTGAGCCAAGATTGTGCCACTGCACTCCAGCCTGGATGATAGACTGAAACCCCATCTCTAAAAATAATAATAAAAATAATAATTTAAGCCGGGCGTGGTGGCTCAAGCCTGTAATCCCAGCACTTTGGGAGGCCGAGGCGGGTGGATCACGAGGTCAAGAGATCGAGACCATCCTGGTCAACATGGTGAAACCCCGTCTCTACTAAAACTACAAAAAATCAGCTGGGCATGGTGGCGCGTGCCTGTAATCCCAGCTACTCAGGAGGCTGAGGCAGGAGAATTGCCTCCTGAGTAG